TCAATATTATATCATATCTTAATAACCACTGCTTGCGGTATTTTTATCAATACAAACCACTGGATGCCATAACAATGGAAACACAAGGTGGGGTTAATTTAACAAATTACTTATTAATTTTAATATTTTTTTCAATTTCATCTATTATTTTTCAATTTTTTCAATAATGTTTATTATCTTTCACATTTATTTCAATTTCATTTAATTCATTATCTCTAACTCAAATGTCCATCAAAGATAAGGGAAATCTTCTTAGAATAAGAAAATATGTAGTCTCTAATTATATATTTTTTTTATCTTTTGGTCTTTAAATTTATATTCATCATAAGAATAGTTTTTATTCTTATTTTGCTAAATGTATTCTTTAGAAAACTACTTTACAGAACAGACTGTATGCAGTTCATCTTATAAAATTATTTAAATGCCTTTAATTTTATTTTTATATTTTTTTAGGAAAATTTAAATAATTTTACAAGATAGATTATATACAATCTGCCCTAAAATCTATCATGTAAAACAGATTTACTCTTAAAACTTCTCGTTCTGAACTTACTAAATTTCTTTGTTTGAATTGAGTTAGTTGCTTAAGTTTATTATAAATTTTAATTAATTTATCTTTATAAAATATTTCTTTATAAAATATTTCTTAAGTGATCATATTTTATTAAGATTATAATATCACTTTTTTAAAACTTGAAGGACTACTCTTTCCGTTAAATCTAATAAAATTTTGTGCAGTAGAATATTTTGAATATTCTCCAAAGTTTAAAGACCATTTAAAAAAAATAAACTTTATAAATTAAAATAAAATTAAACTAATAATTAATAAACTGAAAATTAAATTAAACCAACCCATGCTAAAAGAAGTTAACAGCCAATCATGACAACAGTTATATTCATTAACAAATCTGTGAGGCAGTAATTGATTGCAACTGAAAATGGACCACAACTCTTTTTGTTTTTTTTATCCGCAAAGATAAATATATTTTATTACAAAGGTAAAAGGAGTAACTAAAATGTAAACTTCTTTCCAAACATCAAACTTGCGAACAAATAACCATACTCAGAATACATCAACTACATGTCATATAATTAAAAATAAAGATATGAAACATGAAACTATGTATATATATAGAAAAGAATAATTTTATTAAAAATATCAAAACAGATATAGTTCAAACTATACTCTTGCAATATAGGTTAAATAGAAAAGTAAAAAAACCAAAAAAATTCTATAACACTAATATAAAGAGCAAGGTTGTCAAAATCAAGAATTTACCTAAAATCGTTTTGGTTAGATAAAATTAGAATCATAAAATTAAATCAATAAAATCGAGAATTTACTAAATTTAATATATAATATATAAAAAATTATATATAATCAAAATTAAACAACAATAAATCAAATTTGGAGTTGAAAACTTGAAATTAACTAATTAAAGTCTAAATATTTAATAAAACAAATAAATTAATTAATTTAACATAAGTCATTAGTTAAACATTATTTAAACTATCTACAAATAAAATTAAAAATATTAAGCACTTTCTTGCCGAAAGAGATTGAGAATTTCAAATCAAATTTTTCCTGATTTTTGGAAGCGCAATCTTCAATTGTTAATTTGTTATTGGGTCGAGGGGGTTGTAGGCTTTTAAAATGAGAAATGAGTTTAATTTAAGGGTTGTCTGGTCAAAACCCATAAACTCCAAATGGAAGCCCAACAAGAAATGGTCCAACTGCTTAATAGAGGGTTAAATCAAGATTTTATCCAATTTCACAGTAAAATCATGATTTTACGATTTTACCCCCCGATTTTATAAAATTTCAATTTTAACTTAGATTTTACTCGAAATGCTTACTTGAAATCATAAAATGTACAATTTTACGATTTAAATCGTGATTTTGACAACACTAATAAAAAAAGAATGCTCATGACATACAAGAACAATTAAGTGTATAGAGTGTCCAAGTATTAATAGTCACCATAGGGTATCAATAGGATTATATAACCATATAGATAGATGGTGCTTCGGCTTTCCTATTGCCTCTAACAACTATATTTGTCATACCACACTTCTTCAACACACAATCACGATTTTTGTGGCAGAAGATTAGTTAAGAACCTTAACCTCTTATCATGTTGCCGACAACTAAAAAAAGTGTTGTAATCGAACCAAACTCATTTAACTTCAAATTTATATTATCTTCATTCCCTACCATGGGCAAAACTTGATAATAAATAATTAAAAAATCTAGGTGAAAACTCTCATAAGAGAGTGACAATACTTCTTTGAGAGAGAAAACCTTCTAATAGAGGGAGGTAGTCCAACATTTATTCATCATCCCTAATTGCCAAGGGGGATAGGACACCATTAATTTTTAAGAACCAAGAGAGAAGGGAGAGGTCGAGGCCGAGAGAGAGAGAGAGGCAGAGAATTTTTCAAAATTTACATATTTTACTCCTTTACAATACTATTAATTTTTAAGTTAACACTTACTCTTACTCAAAGAAAAACTAGGAAGGAATAAGTAAAAGCACAACATCGATCGTTTCAGGTTCTTCTTGCTCATTTCTATATCCTAAATTTATTTTATTTGGAATTCAGAGCGAGTCAGATTAATTCTATGGAAAATATTTTCTTTTTCAAAATGTACTTAGGGTGTTTGGAATATTTGGAAAACTTTTTATGAAAAATATTTTTCATTGCTTGGTTCGTTATGAAAATGGAAAGTTTTTTAGAAAGTTTATTGTGGAAAATAGTTTCCATTGTTTGGTTTGTAATGAAATTGAAAAATCTTCAAATTTCCCTCAACATACTTCATAAACACATTATTTTTTTAAAACATAAAATTAATTATAGAAATAAGAAAAAAATTAAAAATTCTATAATCATGGGCATCCAATTTATGCTCTCACAACATGCTATTCTACAGTCATGGCCTTTCTCTATCCTTTTTTTTTTTTATTGGGAAAGAAATGATTTTATTAAGAGTTGTAACTGTACAAGGGTAACTTAACCAATTACAAAAAAAATCTAAATCTAAAAATACATCTCTAATATTCTGATAAGAAGCAGCCATGGTTGATTAGCCGCAGGTGTGTTTGATAAATTTTATTTTTGAACTAAGGAGTTCGTTAAAAGGGAGGGAGAAAACATGCGAACTGTTTTTATAGAACTACTCTGTTTTATACAATGTTCTATGTGGGACTGCCAGTAGACGGATTAATGTCAAACAGCAAATTTAGTGTAGGTTCTGAAATTACTTTGATGTTCTGCGGCTTAATGAATTACTTTCTACAGGGCTGTTGGAGTTGATGATGTTTCCTTAAAAATTACACACTGTGGAGTTTGTCATGCTGATGTTGTTTGGACTAGAAATGGATTTGGAGACTCAAGATATCCTTTGGTGCCTGGGTATGATATGCCTACTTGTTCGTTTTCAATTTTGTAAAAAATTTATTGAGAATATATCTATAATTATTTATCCCTTCTATACCGGACATGAAATTGTTGGAATAGTTAAAGAGGTTGGTTCCCACGTTCGCGGCTTCAGAGTTGGTGATCATGTTGGAGTGGGAACTATTGTCAACTCCTGCAAAGATTGTGAGTATTGCAATAATGGCCTTGAATATTGTTGCTCAAAAGGGAGGATCTCGACCTTCAATGGTATTGACGTAGATGGTACCATCACAAAAGGTGGATATTCCAGTTATATAGTTGTCCATGAAAGGTAAACTGTTTTTCACTTTCAATGATATCCATATTTTTTGTTCTTGTTGATTTTGTTATTGTTATCGTGTTTGTGTTCATTACCCTGCAATTGCTTCTAAGTTTCTGTTATTGTTTACCTAGACTTCAGTAATTCAAGTAAATCGTCTATAACATACCTATGTTTGGCGTTGAATTAACAGATTCTGTTTCAAAATACCCAATGAATATCCCCTGGCTTCAGCAGCACCATTGCTTTGTGCTGGAATTACTGTTTATTCACCAATGATACGTCATAACATGAACGTACCTGGCAAATCTCTAGGTGTTATCGGGCTTGGTGGTCTTGGTCACATGGCAGTGAAGTTTGGTAAGGCTTTTGGGTTAAAAATAACTGTTTTCAGCACGAGCATATCCAAGAAAGAGGAAGCCCTGAATCTGCTTGGTGCAAACAACTTTGTTATCTCATCTTGTTGGAGTTGTGGTGTTCAAGCTGCCAAAGTAGCAGCAAATGAGAATGAAAGCTGCACAAAATGGCAGCAAAATGAAGAAGGGAGAGCTGCACCAACAGCACGGTAGTAGCAAAGTGCAGCAAGCTAAGCTGCAAATGTTGAGGAAATGAGGCTGAAATGAAATGTAAACGAAATGCAAATGCAAATGAAATGAAATGAAAGGCTGCAAAGAGGCTGTAGAGCTACCAAAGGACGCAAGTTGTAGCAAAAATTGCTGTTACATATTCAAATTTCAAATGTAATTTTATTGTTTCTTAATGTAATTTTATTGTTTCTTAATGTAGAATAGTTGTTTGAATTTTGAATTGTTTCAAAGATTGTATTCTCCTATATATAGGAGAGTTGGTTAATGAGAAAAGTTGAGTTGGAGTGACATACTCCTCTCCATTTTCTGTGTTCTGCTCTTCATCTTCTTCTCTCGAAATTCTCTCCATTTTTCTTTGATAAAAAATATGAACATGGTATCACAGCCTTTCTTGATCTTTGAGGGCCTATGTGAGAGAGATTTGAGAGAA